CTAGTCAATAACGGCTTCTCCAATGGTTTCATCGAAGACATCATAAGAAGGAAAGTGAAAAGCCATGCAACCTCTGAAGAGACAACTAACACAACACCTATACCCCCTATTAGACTATTTTACAGGAACTTCTTTTCCACAGCTCATAAAACGGAGGAAAGGGTCCTGAAAGATATTGTTAATAGAAACGTTATCCCTACAGACAAAAATCAGAGGATACAACTGACGATTTACTATAAAACCAGAAAAACGGCCAGCCTACTCATGAGAAACTCTCCAGACACAAAACAGAACGCTTTAAAAGAGACTAACGTCGTCTATGCCTTCAAATGCCCACTTGGGGACTGTAAGCTCCAAAAAACCCAGTATATAGGCAAGACAACAACATCTCTTTCTAGGCGTTTAACGATGCATAAGCAACAGGGCTCCATTAAGGAACATATAATCTCTTCCCATAACCAAAACATCGCCAGAGAAATCCTAGTAAACAACACAGAAATCATCGATAGATATAGCGATAGCAGGCGGCTTGACGTTTGCGAGGCACTACACATCAAGAAGTCAACACCAGCAATCAACAGCCAATTATTGCACAACTATATTCTACCCACCTCAAGACTCCGCTCCAATATAGAAGCATCAAGAAATATGGACCAATAGGCTTTCTACAAACACTTCTATTCAATACCCATTGTTTCTGTTCTGTCTTGTGTTGATACTTTTAATACCCTATTAATATCCCCTCCTGTTCTGTCTTGTGTTAATGCCACATCACCCTTCCCACCTCACTCAAATGTAGATATAATATCAGAGAGACGTAAGTTCTAATCAGTTGTGTATTTGTGAAGTCTTTGAAAATGTAATAAGTTTTACGAAACGCGCCCGTGTCGCGTCAGACTAGAAATAAAAATGAATTTTGGAGAAGTGATTTTTGATTTACCTCCAACAGTGAAGCGTAATGTACGAAAGATTGAGAAAATTCGTGTTAGAATTATTAATCTTACTTTTTCGGTCATATTTAATAATATATATATATATATATATATATATATATATATATATATATATATATATATATATATATATATATATATATATATATATATATATATAGGGACCCATAGCCTCGGAGAAGAAAATAAAGAGTACCCAGAGAAGACCTTGTGGATCCTCACTTTGATATTTTCTTCTCCTACCACCCCTATTCTTTTGGTATGTGTGTTTTGGTGTGTGTATATATTATATATATATATATATATATATATATATATATATATATATATATATATATATATATATATATATATATATATATATATATATATATATATATAATAATAATAATAATAATAATAATAATAATAATAATAATAATTTTTATTTAGGTAAGGTACATACATAAAGAGATTTACAAAGTTTGTTGGCTTTATAGATAGAGCTAGTACATACAATGCCTAAAGCCACTATTACGCAAAGCGTTTCGGGCAGGAAAAACATTAATGACTACAGCTTAAAACTAATGGGTAAAAAGAAAAGATGTGATGAGTACATATAAAAAATAGAGGTAAAAGAGGGGGGAACATTGTTGAAAAAGCAGCACAAATACAATTACAAATTATTACAGAAAATTACATTCAAACAGCGTTGATTTGAAAAACAAAAAAAAACAAAAAATATACATGGGTTGACAACAGGGGGGTAAGGTGGGTTACATGGAATTTATTAGGTATAGCTTCGTTTTTAACTTAAACTGGTTGAGAGAGGTACAGTCTTTAACATGGTTGGGAAGGTCATTCCACATTCTGGGCCCCTTGATTTGTAGAGCATTTCTGGTTTGATTTAGTCGAACTCTAGGAATATCAAAACTGTATTTATTTCTGGTGTGGTGCTCATGGGTTCTGTTACAACCTTCTATGAAGCTTTTGAGATCAGGATTGGCATTATAGTTTAGCGTTTTATATATGTATAATACACATGAGAGAATGTGCAGTGACTTAATGTCTAACATATTCAGAGATTTGAGTAGGGGTACCGAGTGATGTCTGGGGCCAGAGTTGGATATTGTCCTAATAGCAGCTTTGTGTTGAGTAATTAGAGGACGTAAGTGATTTTGGGTAGTAGAGCCCCAAGCACAAATACCATAGTTGAGATATGGATAGATAAGGGAGTAATAGAGAGTCACCAGGGCAGGGCGTGGTACATAATATCTGATCTTAGAAAGAATGCCCACAGTTTTTGAAACTTTTTTTTAATATGTTTAGAATGTGTCCCTGGAAATTCAGCTTGTGGTCAATGAGAATGCCAAGGAATTTGCCATCTAATTTGTTACAAATTTGGGTATTGTTTATTTTGAGATTTATTTGATTAGAGGATTTATTGCCAAACAGAATATAGAAAGTTTTGTCAATGTTAAGGGTGAGTTTGTTGGCAGTTAGCCACAGATGGACTTTATTATTTATTTATTATATATATATATATATATATATATATATATATATATATATATATATATATATATATATATATATATATATATATATATATAGCTGCTACGGTCTTCGTATGAATTACCAAATAAGAAATAACGCGTATCCCATAATTATTGTATTTTTAAACACAATATCATGGCCTTTTCACCATGGTGTTGCCACAAGCAAGACGTTTCAATACATATATTTTACAAATATTCGATTTGTTTTTTGTGAATATTTTTCATATTCCTGCCCCTCCTCTTGAAGGTAACGTACAGAGAAATGAACGATTACTCTGTGCATACTTTTTATATACTTTCCAACCGTGAAGATCCCTGCAAGACACTCCAGAATTTACCTCTGACATCTTCTCAGAGACGCTCTGAAGCAAAATTTTGGAACCCAGTTTTAATCGGTATTAATAAAGTTCCAGAATTTCTTCATCTATAAACACTTGTTATGATGTGTTTCAGTCTAGAGGGGAAAATTTCGAGTATGGATATTGGCACATTTTAGCAGCAGTTGGGAGCTAATTATACCAGAAGCAAGTACTTTGCCTCAAAGATTAGGAAACAAATGAGTAAGTAACCAACAATTTCCTATAATGTATATTATAATAATCTCAACTTCGTTCTAAACAAACTTTTGAACATCTAAATTTAACTTTCAAGATTGCTGAAGCCCATTACTTTTTTCTTGAAGCTTTGAAGGGAATGGTGAACTATCAGGAAAAAGCGCCAAACCATTAAAAATATATAGCCCTTGGAAGGGATCAGGATAAGGATTTGGGATGGGACGGGAGGGAAGGAATGGTGCCCAACCACTTGTGGACGGTCGGGGATTGAACACCGACCTGCATGAAGCGAGACCGTCGCTCGACCGTCCACACCAAGTGGTTGGCTGAAGCTTTGAGAGTGTGTGTCTGCCCAAGTGACGCCAGACAGCAGCCAGACCTGCCCAAGAGACGCCAGACAGCAGCCACACCTGCCCAAGTGACGCCAGACAGCAGCCACACCGACCCAAGAGACTCCAGACAGCAGCCACACCGACCCAAGAGACGCTAGACAGCAGCCACACCGACCCAAGAGACGCCAGACAGCAGCCACACCGACCCAAGAGACGCCAGACAGCAGCCACACCTGCCCAAGAGACGCCAGACAGCAGCCACATCTGGCCAAGAGACGCCAGACAGCAGCCACACCTGCCCAAGAGACGCCAGACAGCAGCCACACCTGGCCAAGAGACGCCAGACAGCAGCCACACCTGCCCAAGAGACGCCAGACAGCAGCTACACCTGCCCAAGAGACGCCAGACAGCAGCCACACCGGCCCAAGAGACGCCAGACAGCAGCCACACCTGCCCAAGAGACGCCAGACAGCAGCCACACCTGCCCAAGTGACGCCAGACAGCAGCCACACCTGCCCAAGAGACGCTAGACAGCAGCCACACCTGCCCAAGAGACGCCAGACAGCAGCCACACCTGCCCAAGAGACGCCAGACAGCAGCCACACCTGCCCAAGAGACGCCAGACAGCAGCCACACCTGCCCAAGAGACGCCAGACAGCACCCACACCTGCCCAAGAGACGCCAGACAGCAGCCACACCTGCCCAAGAGACGCCAGACAGCAGCCACACCTGGCCAGAAGGAATACTTGTTATGGTGTCCTCTCTGGTGTCCTCTCCTCGCCGGGTTCTTCACCCTCTTGAGGGACCACTTCGGCCATGTCATCACCCACTTCGTGCAGAATCATGTGAAATATCGCCCCAACATAATCTATTAGATCGACACCCCTGCCATAGTTCGACATCCCTGCCATAGTTCGACACCCCTTCCATAGATCGACAACCCTGCCATAGCTCGACACCCCTTCCATAGATCAACAACCCTGCCATAGTTTGACAGCCCTGCCATAGATCGACCTGCCATAGTTTTACCCTGCTGTACGGGTAAAAAAAAACAAGGAATTACTTTTCGCCCGAAGCTGTCAGCGCCTAATGACAGCTTAGGGAGAAAGCGGCTAGAGTAAAGCCGCTACACTCGCTAGAGTTTAAAACTCAACTCTAATAAAATCCATAAGAATAATGGGTTGAGACTTCTGACACGCCGCCAGCGTCTTGTCCCCCCGTCGAGACCACTAGAGATAGTGGCCCTTGGGTAAAGTCTGCGCTGCAGCTCATAGTTTGAGCATGGGAAGACTAGTAAACTAGTACCCACAGTTGGTAGTTAAATACTCATTGATTAAATATATTCAATTATTTATGAAATTGGTAAGGTATGAAATATGCCCTCGTGTCTACTTCTAGCTTAATTACTATATAAGTTTACACCGTCCATAAACACTTCCTGTCCACTCCCAGCTTACTAAGTGAGTTTACGCCGTCCACCAACAGATGGCAGTATTCTGGAGGTATTTGGAAACATTAAGCAAAATGAGAAAAGGTAATTGCTGCAGGATGTATGTTATTGGATGAGCAGCTTTCCAATCTTCCTACTCAAGTTGTGTGAAGTGTCGACGAGTATAGCGGGACAGAAGCACCGGGTAGTTCAACAACCTCTGGGACCCAGTCAGGACCACCTGTTCTACCGTCTGTAGGGGGGGTTCCGTAGCATGGCCGCATCCAACGATTTTGACTTGATACGTTTGATGGCAGTAATGATAGAAAACGGCATTTCTCGTCTGGATGTTGGAGAGATTAAAGTTATGGAAGACCCTGCTGTGTTGAAGTCTAAAATGTTGTCGGCCAATGTCGACGAGAAATGTGCTGTAACAAAGAAAAGTGAAGCCGAGACGTCTGTGTTGAGTAACAGTTTATGTGATATTCGTATTGACCAGATGGGGGACTTTGAATCCTTGCTGAAATTCGACCAACAGTCTGACGTGTGCGGCAGTAAACAAGGCGTCAAGCCAAAGGACTTGTGTACAGTGTGTTTGGATGTTGATTGGTGCAGCTGTAACAGGTCTTGTATGAATAGCCTGAATTCAGACTTTAATAGTGACAATAAGATTACAGACGACGGCTACCTCAGTGACGGCTACACCCGGTTTGGTTATAATAAGCTTGGCGAGAAACGCTCAGACGTTAACATTCGTGGCTACAACACCAGGAACTACGACCGTGAAGGCTACAACATCTACGGTTACAACAAACATGGCTACACTCGCAACGACTACGGTGAAGACGGATATAATAAAGATGGGTTTGACTGTGATGGATTTAACCGGATGGGTTTCAACTTCCATGGACTTACACGCAATGACTATGACTCTGAGGGTTACGATTCTTATGGCCATGACTGCTATGGCTTCGACAAGAATGGACGCAACTGGTATGGCTTAAGACCCGAAGATTACGATGAGAACGGTCTAGATAAATTTGGTTACAATTACAATGGGTTCTATAAAGTACCCCAACGAAATAACACGGAAGAGGCGACTCAGTTTAGCGGAGAAAAGGTTGGAGCCCCGTCCCAGGCGGTGGCGGCGGCCAACTTGGCGTCTAGGGAGGCGGTGCTGGCGGTGACGAGGACCCTGGCCATCATGGCTGTCTCGCAGGCACAAGAACATATGAAACGTCTCCGTAACTCTGGAGTGTGACTCAAAACTTCCAGTTAAGTTGGTTGGGTTGAGTTTCAAATCTTTTGTCTAATAAGATTCTAAGATTGTTTGCTTTAGAATTTTGTTATATAAGGATTTCGGATTTAGAGTACATTATTAAATTTACTAGCCTCTTGCATAATGTGGGGCTTTATTATGGGCGAAGATATAAACAAATTAAATTTTATAAAGATTGAAAATTCAATATTGGGTAAAATTTGTTAATGCTTTTACAGCAGGTTGTGGAAGAGCACTTGCCAGGGACTGCAGTGCACATCCGCACTAGTGACTGACGATGCAGGAGAGGTGACGTCTGTCGTGACGGAGACGACTGGACTCTTTCGGTGTTCCTTGACGAGGTGGTGTGGTTGGCCTCGTCATGGGTTGCTGCCAACACGTCTTCTGCCACTTTAAACGTGACTTTACTCTGAAGATATTTTATCCGCCCAGGTTAAGTCTGCCTATAGAATGCTAATTACAAAAAAACGGCAATACTTTGCTTTAAGGTTACCTTTTATGACAATGTGTACACCATTAATATTTTCTTAATTTTAAAGTAATCTTGAGAGCTGAATAGTGTAAATATCTACCTATACCTATTTTAAGCCTAATTCTCATTAATTAATGAACACATCAGAATTTGTATCTTGGTATGTTCAGCATGTTTCTTTAGAATGTTTAATTAAAAAAGGTTACATTAGCTAAGTTTTAAGGACTTTTAAAACGAAAGTTAAGGACTTTTTTTTTTTTTTTTTTGTACAAAATAAAAACTGCTTCCCGGGTCAAGACTTGCGTTCAAATTAAGGTTGAAAATATTTCATAGACGACGCGCAATAAGGCCTTATTAACTCTTGATTGTATCTTGTCTGTATAAACATACTTTTAAGAAATAAGAACATTAGTGAATACTTTATCTATCCTTTTGATTGCATGGTCATGAAAGAAGGGCTCGTATTTATGCACGATAATTAGCCACTTACCTGTAAACAGTGGTTTGGGAGTAGACTCGAGACCGTGTCGGTAGCTCGCTGACCAACTAGCCAAAGTACTTTGCATCTAAACGTAGTCAAGGACTGTAGTTAGTGTATGCTTATTACAAAAGTTTCGAAGGGGCAGGGGGAAGATGTAGATCCCCCTGTAACAAGTGTACTGCATGTACTTGGCAATGCCTGACAATTTGCAATAACCTAAAAGAGGTTGGAGACCTGCAAACGCTAGGGGTTACCCTTGGCCAACTTTGCACGTAGATTGTTGTGAAGGATGTCTCAAACATGGGCAGGTCGGGGTATTCTTGACTTCTATTAAGAGGGGGGGGGGGGGTTGAGACGTTTGCGAACTTTCCACACCGCGCGCGCGCAAACCGCAGCAAGCACAACTAGGTGAAGCGCGCACACCACACACCCACACACCTGGCAGTCGTAAATGTATTGACAGACCCTATATGACTCTCCCCAATCGTGAAAAGAAAATATCCCCGGTATTTTGGCCGTGCACTTGGATTAGTGTAATTTGTTAATAATTATTTTACAACGGTTAATTCATTGCCTTAGAATCTTATATAGCTGAAGCAACAGCTTTGATGCCATTGTAAAATAAAGACCCGAACCAGCAAACAAAAGACTCGTAGTAGTTAAGGGCCACACCTTGGGCCCGTTCTTCACGGTGCTTAGGAGAGCTGTGTTTTTTTTATGGGAAGACTGTTGACATGGTGTCAGGGGGAGAAGGTAAACAGAACCACCTCGGCCTTTTTCCAAGTGATTCCCCCCCCCCCCCCCTCCACGCTCGGCTCGTTGTTACCGTGAGGGGGAGCTTAGTGGGCGGCTGCCGGAGTGTGATGCTCCTTGGGACAGTCCTCTGTCCTTTTCTAGTCTTGTGCTCCTGCTGCCGTCCTCTCCAATTATGCTGAGCACCTTTTCCTTCCGTTTCCTTTTTCTCACCCTCTCCCCCTCCCCATCCGGCCCGTTGGCGTCGTGAGGGTGCTTGGTGGACGGCTGCCGGAGTGTGATGCTCCGTGGGGCAGTCCTCTGTCGTTTTCTGGCCTTGCACTCCTGCTGCTGTCTTCTCTAATTGTGCCGGATCGCTTTTCCTTTTCCTTATGTTTCGTTTTTCTCCCCCTCTTCTCCTATCTGCTTGTAGTTTCCTGCCGCCGACCTTTTGCTTGTTTTGGATTATTTCTTTGGACTACTTCTATTTTGACGCCCGGGTGCTTGAGGAGGCATACTCTTGCACCCGTAGAACTGTAGTACCCAACGTCTCGAGCGAGGGGAACCTTTTGTCAATCCCCCTTTCGTCGCTGAACCCGATCTCGGACTGACGGTTCTTAAGGTGGCGTTTGTGGGGCGTATACTCACGACGCACCCCTAGGAGGCCCCGGCATGATCGGCGATAGCTTCTTGTTGGGTGTCCTGCCTCTAATTATGGCTCCATGGTGGGTGTGGGGGCACATTCGTGAATGAATTTTCTTTTTCGTAATGAGGATGACCCCTGTTTCGGCTGTTTCTGCTTTACCTTCTCAGGCTCGTGGGGTGGGCGACCAAGCCCCCGAGTCAGTCAGTGTTGGAAGACCGGGCTCTGTAGCCTCCGCTGCATTGGGCCCCGACCTTGCTCCTCCTTTGGCCTCTCTGACTCCCTCCCCTGGCTCCCTTCCCTCCTCTGTGGTTGGGTCGAGCCCCAAGCCCCCAGTGGTGACAACCTCGTCCCCTGGCGCGGCTCCTTCTCTAGTTGTAACTACTGCGCCTTTTAACCCCTCTCTGGGGGTTCTCGCCGCCGTCCTCGTCATGGCCGCCCTCGCTCGATTCCTTCCAGTTCTGCTACCTATCGAGCCTTGTTTGGTCCCGCTTCGTGGGCCAAATATTTTGATCTCCTCCCTCTTGATTCTGCGCCTCCTGACGATTTCTCCCTCCATCGACATCTCGTTGATTCCGTGGATGCCTCCATTACTTTCAACCCCACTCGTCTCGGTACACGTGTCGTTGCTGCTCCTTCTCAGGATGCTGCTTCCCGCTTGGCTGCCTTATCCTGCCTTGGCGAGACCCCTGTTCGGGTCTCGAAGAACGCTCAGTTGAATGCCAGTGTTGGCACTATTTTGCTCCCGCCCCATGTTGCGACCGGTGTTCGGGACCTGCGCGACTGCCACGACGATATTCGACATATCCTTGCTGCCCAGGGCCATTCTATTCTCCAGGTGGACACGTTTACTCGTCCCCCTCGTGGTAGTCGCAGTCAAGCCCTCCGGGTTGTGAAGATTACCTTTGATGGTAGGACCCTTCCACCCTCTGTCATTCTTGCTGGTGCCAGGTGCTCTGTCCAGGAGTACATTCCTTCTCCTCGGCTCTGCAACAAGTGCTGGAGGTTTGGGCATGGTGCCCTCCGCTGCTCCGGGACTCTCTCTCTGTCCTTTGTGTGGTGGCGAAGGTCACTCTAAGTCGGAGTGCACTTCTCCCCAGGCTCGTTGCCTCAACTGCGGTGAGGCCCATCCTACCTTCTCCCGTGCGTGTGTCAATTACAAGCTTGAGGCAGCCGTCCTCAACTTGAAGCACCGGGAGCGTTTATCTTTTCCTGAGGCGAGACGCCAGGTTCGCCGGCTCCCGCCTTATGCTAATATATCTTATGCTCGCGTATTGCGCTCTTCCTCTCCTCGTCCTTCCCGCCTTCCTCAGACTCAACCGTTTCCGGGCCTTGGACCCTGATGCGCATACTGCCCCCTCCTCTGTTCCTTTGGGTTCTCTCCCGAAGGATCCTCCTCCTGGTCCTCTGTCTGGGGTTCCCCTTCCTTCTACCCGGTCTGTCGTGTCTCCTGTGTCTTCTTCCTCGTCTCCCTCCGTTCCTCCTTCCCCTCCGTCTCTTGACTCTCCCCGCCGCCTGTCGGTGCGGGCTGATGTCCATCGCTCTCCAAACGGCCATCATGTGTGCTCTCGTTCAGCTTCTGTTGAGACGCTAGAATCCGTTGCCCAGTACGTGGTTGCTGGGACACCTGTCTCTTTACGTCAGAAGCGTAAACCTGGCTCCTCTCCTTCCTCCTCCCCGGCGGGTAAGAAGGTTTCGCTTTCTTCCTCGGCCCCTACTTCTGCCTCTCTCGCTCCTTCCCCTCCCATTTCGGTGGTTGCGCCCCCTGTTCCTGCTATGGAGGTTTCTTTAGCCCCCGCTTCCCTCTCAGTTGCTGCCCTTGCTGAGGTACGCTCCCCTCTTTCTACCCCTCCTCTTCCTGCTGCTGTCCTTGCCTGCTCCTCCTCTGTTGTCTCCTCCTCCTCCTCCGGACCCCGCCCGCCCACCTCTGATCTGTTCTCCCGTTTCCTTCCCTCCGTCTTTGCTCAGTTTACCCATGCCCCCTGACTTTGCTGACCCTGATCCCGACCCTGATATTCTTTAACGTGCTCTGTTGCTCTTTTGCCTTTTTCTTCCTTGTTCTCTGTTTTTGTCCTTTCTCTTCTCGTCGTTGTCCATTCTTGAATGGAACGTTCGAGGTTATTACGCCAATTTCCTCGAACCCCAACTTCTGATTTCGCGGTTTTTGCCCCTTTGTGTCTGTCTCCAGGAGCCGATGCTTGGTGCTCGTCCTGGTCGTTTTCGTGGCTATTTCTTTCTCTCCCCCCCCCCCAGCTGTTGCTGGGGCTTCTAATTCTTCTGCTCTTTTAATTCGTGCTGATGTTCCCTTTGTTCCTTTACTTTTTCCTTCACCTCTCCATTGTTCTGCTGCTCGTGTCTTTGTGGGGAAATGGTACACTGTTTGTTCCATTTATCTCCCCCCGAGTGTCCCGCTTTCTCTTCCTGATTTGAAACACCTCCTAGACTCCTTGCCGGAGCCTGTGCTCCTGCTGGGTGACTTCAATTGTCTTCATTCTCTTTGGGGTGACGTTCTGACGAATACCCGGGGTCGCCTTCTTGAGCCTTTTCTCCTCTTCTGAATACTGGTGAGCCCACTCATTTGGACTCTCGGACTCGCACCCTTTCTTGTCTTGATCTTTCTCTCTGCTCTTCTTCTCTTTACTTAGATTTCACGTGGCAGGTTTTTGATGACCTCCATGGAAGTGATCATTTCCCCATCCTTGTTTCCTTTTTCTCTTTTCGCCCTTCCCTCTCTTTCCCTAGGTGGCAGTTTGCTAAGGCGGACTGGACCCTATTTTCCCTCAGTGCTACTCTCTCTGACCTCTCCCTTCTGCCTCTCTCTCGCGCTCTCCTCCTTTTTCATGACACTGTCTTCAACGCTGCCCTCCGCTCTATACCTTGCTCTTCCTCCCGGGGTCCACGGAAGTGCGTTCCCTGGTGAAATGCGGACTGTGCTCGGGCTGTCCGCTGTAAGCGTGCAGCCTGGAAGAGGCACCGCCGTAGGCAGACGACCGATTCTTTTCTTTTCTTTCGGAAAGAGAGTGCGGTGGCCCGTAGGGCCATCCGTACGGCTAAACGTGAATGTTGGGCATCTTATGTCTCAACAATTACGTCCGAAACTCCTCTGGCCCAGATCTGGAAGCGTATCCGCAAGATAGCGGGTAAATTCGTTCCCGATGTTTCACCAGTCCTTCACCTCCATGATACTCTTGTGGCGGACCCGTTGCAGGTCGCTTCCGTACTGGGTTCCCACTTTTCTTCTGTTAGCTCTGGTCTTCATCATCCCCAATCTTATCTTCTTCGTAAACCTGTCCTTGAGTCTCGTCCTTTAGATTTCTGCACTCGTCTTCAACTTCCCTATAATGATCCCTTCTCTCTCTCTGAACTTCGTTCTGCTCTGGCCCTCTGCGGTTCTACGGCGGCGGGCTCCGATGGTATTCATTATGAGATGCTTCGCCATCTCCCCCCGTGCACGTCTCGGTATTTACCGAGTCTGTATAATCGGATCTGGGAGTCGTCGTCAGTCCCTGAGGACTGGCTCGATGCCGTTGTCCTCCCTGTTCGCAAACCGGGGTCTCTGGGTACTTCCCCTAAGGACTTTCGCTCTATTGCTCTCACAAGTTGTCTGCAAACTCTTTGAACGTATGGTTAACGTTCGTCTGATGTGGTTCCTGGAACACCATCACCTCCTCTCCCCTTCTCAATTTGGTTTCCGCAAGTGCCGCAGCACGACAGATGTCCTGGTGAACTTGGAGGTCTATATTCGTACTGCTTTTGCTGCGAAGACCTCCGTTGTTGCCGTCCTTTTTGACCTGGAAAAGGCTTACGACACCACTTGGAGATATCATATTCTATCTCAACTTCATTCTTTTGGCCTTCGTGGTCATCTCCCTCTCTCTCCGCAGCTTCCTCTCCCGTCGTTCATTTCGGGTGCGCCTTGGTACCGCGCGCTCTGCCTCTTTTCAGCAATACGAAGGTGTGCCCCAGGGTAGTGTTCTGAGCACTACTCTTTTTCTGGTTGCCCTCAATGGTCTTCTTTCTTCTCTTCCTTCTGGTGTCTTCTCCGCTCTCTATGTCGATGAACTTACCCTTTGCTGTCAGGGTGATGATTCGCCTCTCCTTCAGCGCCGGCTTCAACTTGCAATTGATGCCGTGTCGTCTTGGGCCACCGATCATGGCTTCAAGTTCTCTACTTCTAAGACTTGTGCCATGACTTTTATGCGGAAACGGGTTGTTCTTCGTCCCTCTTTGTCACTTTATGGTCATCCCCTTGAATACAAAGATTTCGCAAAGCTTTTGGGGTTATTCCTTGACGCTCGTTTGTCTTGGTCTCCCCATATCTCTTACCTTCGTGTTGAGTGCTCTAAGGCCCTTACCCTCCTTCGGGTCTTGTCCCATACTTCTTGGGGAGCAGATAGGCGCACTCTCCTTGCTTTACATTCCTCTCTTGTCCTGTCTAAGCTCGATTATGGTTGCCCTGCTTACTCGTCTGCTTCTCCTTCTACTCTTCGCCGTCTTGATGCTTTGCACCATACTGGGTTGCGCCTCAGTTCTGGTGCCTTTCGTTCGACTCCCGTCCTTAGCTTGTATGTTAACACTGGCTTCCTGTCTCTCCAGGACTACCGTGATCACTACTGTCTTCGCTATCTTGCACGGTCCTTACAACATCCTTCCTCTCGCCTCTGTCGTGCTTTAACTTTTACCCCTCTTGCGGTTCCTGTTCCTCTTCACCACCTCCCTCTTTCTGTCCGGTTATCTCGCCTCCAGGATTCTCTTTCCGTTCGTATTTCTAATGTTTCTCCTCGTGTTGTTCCTTCTTTGCCCCCCATGGAGAGTCCCTCTTCTGCGGTTTTGTACTTCCTTGACCCGTATCACTAAAGATTTTACCCCTCCTACGGTTCTAAAACGCCTTTTCCTTGAACACTTTTCTTCTCACTTCCGCTCCGTTTCTGTCTTCACCGATGGGTCAAAGTCGGCGGACGGTGTTGGCTACTCTGTTGTTTTTCCTGATCGCACTTATATGTGTCGCCTGCTTTCTCGTTGTCAGTCTTCCTTTGTAGTTGTATTTGTTGACTCTCGTAGTGCCCTCATGGCTCTCGGGTCCTTTAATCCGGTTCATCCAGTAGTTGTCGAGATCCAGCATTGGCTGTTTCTTGTTCACAGTAAATTTAAGTCGGTTGAGTTTTGTTGGGTTCCCAGCCATATTGGTGTGTCTTTAAATGAGCGTGCGGATGCTGCCGCCAAGGAAGCTGTCCGCTCTTGTCCCATCTCTCGTAAAGGCATTCTGTATTCCGACTTTTACCCGATTTTCCATTCCTCAGTCCTTACCCGTTGGCAGGCTTCTTGGTTGTCTGTTACTGGTAACAAGCTACGTACTCTTAAATGTTGTGTTTCCTCGTGGCCGTCCTCCTTCCACCGTAACCGGCGGTGGGAAACAGCTCTGGCGAGGTTGCGTATTGGCCATACTCGCTTAACCCATGGTCACTTGATGGAGCGCCGCCCTGCTCCTTATTGTCCTAGTTGCATTGTCCCTCTTACGGCTGTGCATGTACTTCTTGAATGTCCTGACTTCCAGGACGAGCGTGTGTCTTGCTTTCCGACCGCCCCTCGCGGTCACCTGTCCTTCAATAGAATTCTTGGTGACTCGGATACTTTCGATATCGTTCGCCTTATGCGTTTTTGTTCTAGTATTGGCATCCTTGGTGATATTTAGCGCCCTCTGATTATTTTGCGCATTTGACGGTGCTACATAGTCTTCCCGGTTTGGTGCCTTCTTTTGATAATTACTTACTTGCTGAGGTTCGTTCCCCTCTTTCTACTCCTTCTCCTCCTGCTGCTGTCCTTGACTGCTCCTCTCCGTTGTCTCCTCCTCCGGACCCCGCCCGTCCACCTCTGGTCTTTTCTCCTGCTTCCTTCCCTCCGTCAATACTCAGTTTACCCATGCCCCCTAACCCTGACTTTGCTGACCCTGATCCCGACCCTGATATTCTTTGACGTGCTATGTTCCTCTATCGCCTTTTATTTATTTTCCCTATACATGTAAAAATATACCCACCTTTACCTTGCTGACTGATGTTTAGCATGTTCGGATGATCGAAGATTGAAGCCATGTAAGACAATTTTGCCAGCCAAATCACATCCTAACATTTAACTACCGTGGGGTTTGCTTCCTCAGTAAAGAAAACAGAGCTGCTCTCTCAGTGCAAACACTCGATTAAGAACCTTACCCCGAGATAGCCAACGTACTTCAATATGAAGGAGGAGTTTTGTGAAATTAGCTTCCATATCATGAACTCACGAAACATTCAATGATTTTTTGCATGTGCACAAATGATTCACCATTTTGACATCATCATCAAGTAGAAGCTCTAAGTCACTTTTCTCCTTAGCATTTCTAGTTTCATTCAGTCGCTTTGCCACTAACGCTTCCCTGTGAATCACGCAGTGAATTGCGATACAGTATGGTGAGACCACTTAGATTTTCTTTACAACGCTATTGATTGCACCGACCATAGTTTTCGCACCATCAATATTAACAGACTTGCATTTTGACCAGTCATTGCACTCTTCAGTAATGTAATCATGAAGTTTCTGAAGAATGTTGTGTGCTGTTGTTTCTACGCACAGTTGGAAGCAGCACAAATAGTGTTCAACACAGGTTTTCTCTTCTAAGTCTGGAAACCGACAGTAAACAATCAGCTGTGCTTCTCCTCCTATGTCTGTGGTTTCATCCAGTTGAATGCCAAACGAAGAGGCTAGAGGCAAGTTTTTAACAAGCTGTTCCTTCAGGTCATATGCTAACATCACAGACCGACGACTTATTGCAGTATCAGACAACGGAATCTGCTTCACTTTCTTCACTGCATCTTTCCCTCCATATATAAGGTCAGCTGCTACTTCAAGACACGGCAATACAACATTTTCAAGTTCAGTGAATGGCTCTTTTTCTAAAGAATGATGTTTCATCTTAAGAGAAGCAGGAGTAAGTGCTTTCATGTCAGAGGGCTTAATTTGACTTTTAGAGGTCGACTGTTGCTTCAAGTATACTTCCAAAGTTGCCTCAAAAAATGGCTTTGATTTAATTTGGTGTTCTGGGTGCGTCGTCTTTAAATGCCTTGCAAGTTTTTAAGGAACAACATTTTCATTACTGTACGTGGCATTACAAAAGAAGCACTTGCCTGGTTTTTGAAGCTTCATGTACTGGCCGGAAGAATCCAAATACAATGTGCTCATCATTCCACCGTTTTCGTCGCTTTTTTATGTAATGGTGTATCCTTTTTTGGAAGCCTCCTTTTCCTCTGTGAAGTCCTGTGATGCAGCTCCATCTTGATTTGAAACATCATCTTTTCTTGTAGCATCAACTGCTGTACCACCTGCAACAGGTTTTGCAGGCTCAGAATTGCCATCGATCTTTTTGAAATACTTGTAAATTGACATGGCCTGCAAAAGTCGAGCAATAATGTTGAAATCTGGAAAATAGAGAAAAAAATTAAAATTAAAAATCGTGAAAACATGAAAAAAATCTGGAAAACAGTATTGTCAAATCTGCCAATTGAGAGCGGAAACTCAGCCGCGTGATTCGTGACAACCAATGGCGAGACAGTCCCTCGCGTGCCTCGTACTATCTGGGTCTTGCGAGTAGGCGAGATGGCAACCTCGAATTGACAATAGGTAAATATGTATTTGTAGTATGTATTTTAAGAAATATAGGAGAGATAGAGATTTTTTGTATATTATACAGACACGTGCAGGTGAGGATCTCTTCCAGCCCCTATATAGCTGTCCACCCATCACTTAATCTCATCCATTATAAGGTGGACTGTTCACCCAGGTTGAATAGCACTGTTCTACATCATACATCTTCTGTCTGCACTGCTTAGGTCATGTAGGCGTCTGCTGTGTACACTGCTGAAGTCACGTACACCTCTGATGCCTACACCACAGAAGTCACGCAGGCCAGATCACATGTGACCAACTGGCCATAACAGATCTTAAAGTCAGCAAAATATGATGCCCTGTGGCATTATTTCTCCTTCTCATTCAAGAACAATGTAACTGCAGAAGGCCTATTAGCCCATACGAGGCGGCTCCTATTTATAACAACCCAATCCCACTCATAAGCATGTCCAACCCACGTGTGAAACAATCGAGGGACCCCATCTCCACCACGTTATGCGGTAACTGATTTCACAATACAACCCTGTTTCCGAACCAGTATTTACCCAAGTCTTTCCAAAATCTAAACTTATCCAATTTATACCCATTGTTTCAGGTTCTGTCTTGTGTTGATACTTTTAATACCCTATTAATATCCCCCTTTGTTATGTCCATTCATCCACTTGTAAACCTCTATCATGTCACCCCTAACTCTTCGCCTTTCCATTGAATGCAATTTAAGCTTTGTTAATCTTTCTTCATATGAAAGATTTCTAATTTGGGGAATTAACTTGTCCAGTGTGTCTATGTTGGACACGTTCAAGTGAATTTATATCCATTCTATAGTACGGCGACCAAAACTGAACTGCATAATCTAAATGGGGCCTAACCAGAGCAAGATATAGCTGAAGAACAACACCAGGTGTCTTGTTACTAATGCTTCGATTAATAAATCCGTGTCCTATTTGCCTTATTATGAACATTCATGCATTGATCCTTTGGTTTTAAATTCTTACTAATTATAACTCCCACATCTCTTTCGTAATCCGATTTCGCTATCTCAACACCATTTAGCTCGTATCTTGTAAGTCTATCATCATTACCTAGCCGCAAAACTTTACATTTATCAGCATTAAACTGCATCTACCAATCTTTTGACCATTTCGAAACCCTATTTAGATCAACTTGAAGTGATAGTGAGACTTCTTCCTTGTTAATTTCCCTATAGATTTTTGTATTTATTTTAACTTGGCAAATTTGTTATCTTTTTATTCCAGCATAGTTGAGGCAGTAGATAGTGGTAAGGATTATGATGTTGTGTAGCTTGACTTTAGTAAAGCTTTTGATACAGTGCCACATGAAAGACTGATTAAAAAAATAGAGGCTCATGGTATTCTGGGTGCTATATTTAGTTGGATATGGGCATGGCTATTCCAAAGGAAACAGAGTTAGTATAAATGGGGTTAAGTCAGAGTGGGATGTTGTTGTTAGTGGAGTGCCTCAAGGCTCTGTCCTGGGACCTCTGTTGTTTATAATATATATATATATATATTATGATTTAGATTCAGTTTTGAGTAGCAACATTTGCAAATTTGCCGATGATACAAAAATCGGTAGGGAAATTAATACGGAAGACGACTCGCTATCACTTCAAGTTGATCTAAATAGGGTTTTGAAATGGTCAAAAGATTGGCAGATGCAGTTTAATGCTGATAAATGTAAAGTTTTGAGGCTAGGTAATGATGATATTTACAAGATACGAGCTGGATGGTGTTGAGATTGCGAAGTCAGATTGCAAAAGGGATCTGGGAGTTATGATTAATAAGAATTTAAAACCAAAGGATCAATGCATGAATGTTCGTACTAAGGCAAATAGGACACTGGAATTTATTAATCGAAGCGTTAGTAACAAGACACCTGGTGGTGTCCTTCTCAAACACCTCGGTGTTAGGTGTTTGTTTTGGTAGGGACGCTAGTCTTATTTTCCTCGGCGTCACTCCTTTTATATGAAAGGAACCATCGGAAATGCATCCGAGGTGTCTGGTAAGTCATCATTTAGATTATGGAGTTCAGTTTTGTTCGCCATACTATAGAATAGATATAAAGTCACTTGAACGTGTCCAGCATTCTAACTTCCAGATCTTGCAGGTGTCTCTTGACCTCCTCTCTCGTAATTTCGAACTCTTCCAAGGCCTCTTGGTTTACTTCCCTTTCTCCTAACACAGTGACTTCAGCTTCTTCTATTGTGAAGACCTCCTGGAACCTCTTGAGTTCATCACACACCTCTTTGTCATTCTCTGTATACCTGTTCTCGCCTGTTCTAAGTTTCATTGCCTGTTCTTTCACTGTTGTTTTCCTCCTGATGTGACTGTGGAGTAGCTTTGGTTCGGTCTTGGCTTTGTTTGCTATATCATTTTCATAATTTTTCTGTTTCTCTTCTCACCATAACATACTCATTCCTGGTTCTCTGGTATTTCTCTCTGCTTTCTGGTGTTATGTTATTCCGGAAGTTCCTCCACGCCCTTTTGTTCAGTCCCTTTACTTCCATACATGCCCTATTATACCATGGATTCTTCTTTTGCTTCTCGGATTTTTCCCTTTAGGCCGGGATGAACCTGTTTACTGCGTCCTGATACTTTTGGGTGACAGTCCATCATATCTTGTACAGACTTAGCTCTGAGGTCTGTGTCCCAAGATATTTCCCTTCGGAAACTTCTCATCCCCTCATAGTTCCCCTTTCGGTATACCAGCCTTTTGTTTCCTAGTTTTTTTTGGGGGAGATAATTCCTGGGTCTACCAGGTACTCGAAGTTCAGTACACGGTGGTAACTCATTCCCAAGATGCTTCCATCTTAACTTCCCTTCCAGATCGAGCATGGCTGGTTCATCTTCTCTCATTCGTGTTGGTTCCTTGATGTGCTGGCTTACAGTGTGTCTTGTTGCCACGTCCAGCAGCTTAGCTCTCCATGTTTCTGGTCCTCCATGCGGATCTCTGTTCTCCCAATCTGCCTTCCCGTGCTTGAAGTCTCTTATGATTAGTAGTCCAGATCCATTACTGCTAGCAACAGAAGCTGCTTTCTCTATTATGTTAATGGTGGCCAAATTGTTTCTATCATATTCCCGTCTGGGTCTTCTGTCATTTGGTGATGGATTATATATGACTACTACTATAATTATTTGTCCTCCAGTTATTATGGTACTTGTTATGTAGTCACTGAAACCTTCGCAGCCCTGAATAACCATCTCCTCAAAATCCCAGACTTTTCTTACCAGCAGAGCTACACCACCACCGCATCTTCCTTCTCTCTCTTTCCTCATAACATAAGTCCTGTGGGAACACGGCATTTGTTATGATTTTTGTTAGCTTTGTTTCTGTGAGTGCTATTAAGTCTGGGTTTTCTTCTGGTACCCATTCTCCAAGTTCATTTGCTTTATTTGTAATTCCATCTATGTTAGTGTACATTGCCTTGAGGCTCACTTTCTTCTGTCCCTTCTCAAATCTTCTCCTTGGTAAGTGCATGTTCTGCTGGTGGAGGAAGCTGTTCCATGGGAGGGGGGGGGGGGGGAGGATTTGTGAGGAGGATAACAGGGTCTCAGAGGATACTAGGGTGAGGGGCAGGAGATCAGGTGAAGGGGGGGACAGGGAGGGTATGGGATGACTGGGGAGGGAGGACAGGAAGGAAATGGGGGGAGAGAGGACAGGAAGGAAATGGGGGGAGGGGGGACATGGCAGGATGAGGGGAGGGGTAGAAGGGTGGGAATGGGGTGTGGGGGGAGGGAGATTTGGCTGAGCATTTGAGTGGGGGCAGGGAGGGTTTGGGTGTAGGGGGGTTTTCTATGCAGAGGAGGGTTGTGGGGTTGCCCTCCCCTCTGGTGTTACTGGGTGACTGGTTGTGGGTTTCCCCTCACCTCAGAGGATGTTGTGGTGGGAGCTGTGATTTCCTGGTTTTCCCCTCTCGCCCTGTGCTTCTTCCTTGCTTCTGCTGCCATGGCTCTCTCCTCCCTCATCATGTCCCTCTGGAGAAATACTTTTTTTAATTCTCCCACATATTGCAGTTCGCTCTTCCTTGTTAGAATCATCATGTGTTCTCATTTGCAAACACCATCTTTAACACACGGTCTCGGTCTTTGTTGTACCAGCCTAGCCTGAAAACCTTCTCAATTCTATGCTCAGCCCCTTTCATTTCAAGTGCCTTCAGTATTTCATTCACTGCCGCGTTGTCCTTATCATTTCACTCTGTCCTATTGGAGCCTTCTGGCTCTTTAATACCCACAGCTACCACTGATCTTTTTCTTTCCAGCAGCTAGCTAGTGAAGCGTGCCGCTTCTTGTGAGGTGGTTGCTTTCATGGCCACCTCCATCATTGTGGACATTACTTCAGAGTTATTTTTTTTAGCATTTCTGCAAACGTTGCTTTTATATTGGCATTCTTTTCCAGTATACTATTTCCACCTTCTCCCTGGATGATTATCCGAGTCTCAGCATCAACACTGTTCTCTTTGAGGATTATAATCTCCTCCTGTGCTCTCTTTTTCAGGTTGTT